AATCTCTTAAGTCCAGATTCTCAAACTCCCTCTGAAATTAGTCACCTCAATAAGGCTCATGACAACATAAAAGCAGCTGTTACTGAAAGGAACTGTGGAATGGTGATGGTAGTTGGGGAACAAGTCAATGGAAGCATGGATGGATGGATGGGTGGGCGGGTGGTGGACGAATGGTGTTAGCTGTAAGATGAAAGAATTAATGAGGGGGTGATTTACCTAACTCTCCCCTCACTATTCTTTTTTTCTTTAACGTAATTTTATTTATTTACTTTTGGCGGTGCTTGGTCTCTGTTGCTGCGGGCTACTCTCCAGTTGCAGTGTGCGGGCTTCTCTTGTTGTAAAGCACAGGCTCTAGGGCACACAGGCTTCAGTAGTTACAGCACGTGGGCTCAGTAGTTGTGGCTCCTCGGCTTTGGAGCACAGGCTCAATAGTTGTGATGTATCAGCTTAGTTGCTCCATGGCATATGGGATCTTCCCAGATCAAGGACTGAACCTGTGTCTCCTGCATTGGCATTCTTTACCACTGAGCCACCAAGGAAGCCCTCCCCTCACTATTCCTGGTGACAGTAAACCTGAGGTACCTCTTAAATCCTGAGACAAAGGGGTCTCCGCCTGAAACTATTGCATTCAGACACAGAAAATATTATAGAATATATTCTAGAGAGATAGACAGATCATGATAGACGACAGACAGATAGATAGATAGACAGGTTATTGTTTAGGTGATAAACTGTGTCTGACTCTTTGGGACCCAATGGACTGTAGCCTGCCAGGCTCCACTGTCCAGGGGATTTCCCAGGAAAGAATACTGGACTGGGTTGCTATTTCCTTTTTCAGGGGATCCTCCCAACCCAGGGATCAAACTCACATCTCCTGCATTGCAGGTGGATGCTTTGCCACTGAGCCACCTGGGAAGTCCTATTAGATAGGTAGATAGATAAATAAGTCTGAATTAAGGAGACAGATGTATAGATAGGTAGGCAGATAGATAAGCCTGCATCAGATCCCTGATGGCTCAGTGGGTAAAGAATGGGACACGACTGAGCGACTAAGCACACATGCACACATTAAGAACTCGGTTTTGAATCGTGAGCAAGCCAACATCACTTAAGTAGCTGTGGAGCATCTCAGTGCTTCTGCAAGGAACTTCACCTCCCTCGGCTCCTCTGCCTAAGGTACAGGGATGCAGTGGCAGTGACAACTGCCTTCAGGCACCACAGGGATGAAGATCACCCCGTAATCCCCAAGTTGTAATCATCTATGAAAATCAACCTTTTCACTGAAAATTGAAACCACTTCTGGGTACAGCTTTCTCAGAAAAAAAAAAAATTGTTGCTGCGGGCTACTCTCCAGTTGCAGTGTGCGGGCTTCTCTTGTTGTAAAGCACAGGCTCTAGGGCACACAGGCTTCAGTAGTTACAGCACGTGGGCTCAGTAGTTGTGGCTCCTCGGCTTTGGAGCACAGGCTCAATAGTTGTGATGTATCAGCTTAGTTGCTCCATGGCATATGGGATCTTCCCAGATCAAGGACTGAACCTGTGTCTCCTGCATTGGCATTCTTTACCACTGAGCCACCAAGGAAGCCCTCCCCTCACTATTCCTGGTGACAGTAAACCTGAGGTACCTCTTAAATCCTGAGACAAAGGGGTCTCCGCCTGAAACTATTGCATTCAGACACAGAAAATATTATAGAATATATTCTAGAGAGATAGACAGATCATGATAGACGACAGACAGATAGATAGATAGACAGGTTATTGTTTAGGTGATAAACTGTGTCTGACTCTTTGGGACCCAATGGACTGTAGCCTGCCAGGCTCCACTGTCCAGGGGATTTCCCAGGAAAGAATACTGGACTGGGTTGCTATTTCCTTTTTCAGGGGATCCTCCCAACCCAGGGATCAAACTCACATCTCCTGCATTGCAGGTGGATGCTTTGCCACTGAGCCACCTGGGAAGTCCTATTAGATAGGTAGATAGATAAATAAGTCTGAATTAAGGAGACAGATGTATAGATAGGTAGGCAGATAGATAAGCCTGCATCAGATCCCTGATGGCTCAGTGGGTAAAGAATGGGACACGACTGAGCGACTAAGCACACATGCACACATTAAGAACTCGGTTTTGAATCGTGAGCAAGCCAACATCACTTAAGTAGCTGTGGAGCATCTCAGTGCTTCTGCAAGGAACTTCACCTCCCTCGGCTCCTCTGCCTAAGGTACAGGGATGCAGTGGCAGTGACAACTGCCTTCAGGCACCACAGGGATGAAGATCACCCCGTAATCCCCAAGTTGTAATCATCTATGAAAATCAACCTTTTCACTGAAAATTGAAACCACTTCTGGGTACAGCTTTCTCAGAAAAAAAAAAAATAGTGAGGTAAGAATTGGACTCATATCTATGACCAGGTTGGTTAGAAAATAAAGTAATGCTTCAGAGAAGTTTATAATTTACGATAGAAAGATTATGATGCAACCCTGAAGGAAAAGAAAGAACCTGTGTGCCCTGGAATCTTGAGAAGACAGAACACAGGGCAGAGGAGGTGATGATGTGGGAAGGAGAGAGGCCGGAAGTTGAAACACCTCTTCTTGGTGAGGATCACTGATTTCAGTAGCATTTTAGGTCAAGAGTACTATCCACTGAGAGAAACAGGGCAGAGACATCTTTGCCAGGCGATTTGAGGAATTTCTAAGAATATGCACCTGCTCGTGCCACCCTGCCCCAAAGATTTTTGAGCCTGGGGCCATTTTCAGGAGCCCTGAGGTTAGATATGTTATGGTCACAGCTCCTATGCCCACCACCCTCCCTGCCCTGGGCCTGTCCTGCCTCTCTCGGCCTATAGAGAGCTCCTTCCATTTGTCTGGGTGACTGTACATATTAGGCAGAAGTTCTCTGGGCTGCTTGGAGGGAGGCTGGGGGCAGACCCTCCTAACCCCGGCTTCCCCAGCCTCTGTTCCATGGGGAACATCAACACAAGATGATGACCTCAGAAGCATATCTGAGGACATGTAGGCTGCCCTTCTCACTAAAATCTGGTTTGAAATTCCCTTGCCAGATTTGCTTCAGGAAATGAACCTGGATGTAGATGGCAGGGTGGTGAAAATCAGGAGGAGCTGGGGAGAGGCACCCCCTGCATGGGGCCAGGGGGCAGCAGGCTGCCCAGGGCCCTGGGGACACCTCTGCCCTCAAGTCCGAGAACAAGATGGTCTCCCCCACCCTAGGCAGGGTCTGGCTTAAGCACTGGAACCCCCTCTGCCAATATCTGCTGAATCGACTCAGAGTGAACTGACCTGCATCATAATTCCAGGCACTGCACCAGAAATGACTTCAGTTGAGTTATGTCTTGTTTTGTTCTGTTTTAGGAAACAAGCTATATGCGGCCTGAGAACATATTGCTTTCGTTGTTGTCTGCTCTGAAGCTCAGAGATGTCACCCCAGATCTGGAAGTCTGACCTCACAGGCCCGGCTGGCTCTGTCTGGTGCGGGGCAGGTTTTGTTCTCTGCTGGCTTGGGGTCTGGGCTTGGGCACCAGGACTCGGGAATGTGATAAATAATCAGCAGACAGTCTGCCTGTCAGGTGATCCTCCGCTCATCTTGGGATGGAGCTGAGGAGGGAGGTGTGAGAGCCGCTGAGGGAAGGGGCCGGGGGGTTGTGAGCAGGCCTGGGGCTCCTCCATGTGACACTGCCTGCCTGCTCTGAGAGCCCTGAGCTTGCCGGCCACCGGGTGCTGGGACCCCCCACACTGGTTCACAGAAGCAGCAGCGCTGTCTGGGTCGTTCCCAGCCCTTCTCCCACCACCACCACTTATCCTGACCTGCTTTTCTGGACTCATATGGGAGGGGTGCAGCGTGTCACAGTGAGCTCCGAGCTCACACCCTCACTGGGACTTCTCGGCCAGGTGAAGCCTGCAGAGTGTGCTGAGAGCCAGGCAGCCCCAGAACGCCCTGCCCCATTCCTCCACCGAAAGCCTTCTTTAGTCAAGTTTTCTAAATCAGTGATGTTCAAACCCTCCTCAGTGGACCAATAGCCTCAGCATCACCCGAGAGCTCGAAAGAAATACAGATGCTCAGACCCCACCCAGATCCTCTAATCAGAATGGGCCTCTTAGAGGATCTGCAGTGGCTCACATGCCTGTCACACAGGAGACGCGCCAGTTGCAGAAGATCTGATGCAAACGGGACGGGTCCTGGTCACGGGAGCTGAAGAACATCAGCAACACAAACCTAGCCTGCCCAGCCCCAGGTTACCTTTCTCACCTGTGCTGAAATGCCAGTGTTCATCCTTTTAGACCTTCATCTTCTGTCTAAACTGTGCCATTTTCATTAAAATACAAACATTGCCTGGGAGGGAAAGCACATGGGTCCCTTGCTACTTAGTCAGAAAATTAAGAAATTTTTAATGTGCCCGCTTTATGTGCCCCACATAGTACAGGATGCTAGGGGTGAGTGAGTTTAGTGCCAAGTAATTACTTTTCCCCAGAGACAAGAGGTCAGGAAGATCCCCTGGAGAAGGGAATGGCTACCCACTCTAGTATTCTTGCCTGCAGAATCCCAAGGACAGAGGAGCCTGGCAGGCTACAGTCCATGGGGTCACAAAGAGTCAGACAGGACTGAGAGACTTTCAATTTTCAGAGACAAGAGAGCTGGGCATTCAGAGAACAGTGGGCTTCTCTCTGGAAGGAGGGATTATTCAAGGGCAGAAGAAAGGGCTCTCCTAAGGCAAGTGTGACCTTCTGCTGTATCTTGATTTGACCCAGCTTGCCTCTAGGAGCCCATCAAGTCCTTGAGTTGATGCTTCCATTTCCATTCAAAGGCATCCTTTGTCATTTCAACTTAATGGAAAAACCCAGTGGCATTTTGAAGACAAAATGTCCAGGTGCATATTTATTTTTAGAAGGAAATGGACCACAGCACATCCATCCTGCAAAAAATGAAGCAAGCCATGGCTCTGTGTGCTGAAGCAGAGAGCGGTACCTCAAGGGTGGAGAGACGGAACTCACTGGTGAATGGGTAGTGCCTCCTCTTACAGATGCTTTCTCAGGAACCACACGGCATCCATCGGGTGGCCAGGACGTGCAGTTAGCACCAACACTGAAGGCACTGGAAGGAAAGTAAAACCTCTCCTTAAGCTTCCTGTGTTGGTTTGGGTACCTATGGACAATTAGCAACTATTTCCATTTCTACAATCCTTGGGATACAGGATGATTTGTTTGCATATTTATTTCATCCGTCACTGAACAAGGTCATCTTTTAATGAGGTGGAATTGTCTTTGTGACCTAATAGCAGTAGTAATGGCAGTCACAGAGTGCTTGCTGTGTGCCAGGTGCTGTTATAAGTGCTTTACGAGTCAAGAGTCGTCATCCACGGGTCCTTCACATTGCTGTGTGTCCTGCAAGCAGAGACACTGCCTCTGTCCTCGATGGTGTTTTCCCAGCTTTGGGAGATAAAGAAGATAGAGTGTTTCCCTCCAGAGACAAGAAACAGACTTACTGTCTTCTGTCCAAAACAATAAACATTATGTCCCCTTATGAAACAAAGGAGAAGAGTGCTGCTGCCGGTTCTGAAGGATTCCCTCAGCCTAAGCGGAGAGTTCTGGAACGCAGTCGCTGCAGGTAGGCAGCTGTCACCCGGCCATCTTTGTATCGTCCTGTGGGAACTGAGGCCCAAGAAAATGTGCTACTCTGGCTACTGCTTGTCCACTTGTCTCTGACACAGGGGTCTCATGTCTCCTGCCAGCATCAAGGAAACTGTGTTGGGATAACTCATTAGATTGTGAGCAGAGGAAAATTTCAGACTCTACCCCAGTTTTGGCAGAAGTTCAGTTCAGGTCAGTTCAGTCCTCAGTCGTGTCCGACTCTTTGTGACCCCATGGACTGCAGCACGCCAGGCTTCCCTGTCCATCACCAACACCCAGAGTTTGCTCAAACTCACGNGCAGGTTTGCAGGGGTCAGAGTGTGTCTGAAGAGGGACAGCGTCTACTTGGGCTGCTCTTGGTCATTCCACTGCATATTTCATGGTTCAAATGATGACTTGTCACTCCATCCATGACACCTAGAGGCCATAATCCCCTGAGGTGTTGGCATAAGTAGGGAATCTGCCAAGAAGACAAAATCGGCCACTACTGCTTGTTGTCTGAAATAGACTCTATAGTTCAATGCTCACGTAAGACTCAGTACAGGAGCACCTCTGCACAGATGTAGGTAGACGAGGCATAATGGAGGGCTTAAATATACACCATGTCTCTCATTTTATAAACACAGGGCTGAAGGCAAAGGGGAAGTGAGGCCTACATTCACTTAGTCATCTGACGAGCATTTACCAAGTGTGTAGGAGTTCAACAGGGCATCCAGAGATGAATGAAATATAGACATTTATCCTACCCCAAAGTTACAATTTAATTCAAACAAACAAGTACACAAGCAATAAAACATTGCAGACTAAGGAACAGATAAGATAAAAGCAGACAGATCAAGCCTTGTCAGGACTCAGACCAGGAAGTAGTTGTATCAGGCTGGGGAGGAAGATCAGGCCCTTCTTAGAGGATGGACAGAGTTCTCCATAAACAAGGGTGAGGAGGCAGAGAATTCTATGCTGAAGAGACAACTTAGGCACGTGATCGGGACTTGTTCAGGGTGGACAGGGAGTAGCCCAAATTGACCAGAGCATAAAGTGCAAAAAGGTAATTAGGAAAGGGGAGGCTGGAAAGAAGGCTGAGTCAGATAGAGAAGGGTGAATGCCAGTTGGAGGATTCAAGGTTTTATTCCAGGGGGATCCAGGAACCACAGACAACCCCTGGTTGTCCAGGGGTGGAACAGACAGATGTTACAGAAACTTAGGGCACATAAATAGCAAAGATTATTGACTATAAAGCCAAACCTTAGGGAGAGGTCTCAGGTCAGAAATCCACAAAGCAAAGAACTATTATTTTCTATACAGAAAGAAAGGAGTTACTCTTTTGAGGGAAGGATGATTTTAGTTTAGGGAGCCATTAACTTGGAGTTTATCCAGTATCTTAGTGTTCGGTTTCAAATAACATTAACTATAATTTGTTATGTTCTTATGTGGTTGGTTGGCTCCTTCACAGAAGAATTAATAGCTCTTCAATTAACAATCACATAACATAGAGCCAGGCACAAAGTAGGGATTAGTAAATATTTTAATACAATACATTGTGTTACATGCATGATAAGTTGCTTCATTCGTGTCCGACTCTTTGCAACCCAATGGTTTGTAGCCTGCCAAACTCCCTTGTTCATGCGATTCTCCAGGCAAGAATACTGGAGTGGATTGCCGTGTTTTCCTCCAGTGGATCTTCCCAACCCAGGGATCGAACCTGTGTCTCTTAAGTCTCCTGTATTAGCAGGTGGGTTCTTTATCACTAGCACCACCTGGGAAACCCATAGATTGTATTACATGAAACATTAAAATACATGATGTCTCCAGTAAGTCAAGACTAGATGCAACTAATATCTGCAACAGGTATAAAAAATCTGTACAAACATTCACTGTTTCTGATTGAATATCTTTATCCAGAGCTAATTATTTTAATTCTGGCGATAAACACAAATATATTTTTCTGGAAAACATGTGGCTTTTAAAATTACTACCTTTAATACCAGAAAACCAAGTGTATTTAACACTTCCATTTGCTGAAACATCAATGCTAGACATATGACCTTTTTAAGCAAACAATAATTAATCTAGTCACAAATTGTAGTAAATAGAACTAAATTTGATCATTTTCTCTCTCTGCTGTTACATATTTTAGTTTGCATTTTTTGTTTATCAAGAGTACAAATCTATAAGTGTGTATACAAACCTCCAGAAATAGATATACAATATGGTTGTTAAAAAAACAAGGAAGTCATTAAGTCATAAAAAAGACTGTGAATCTATAGAATTCATCCTGTTGATTAATTCAGAAACATCAACAGCTGCATGCCTTTGAATGCTTTAACTTGTGTCAATAAAATAGTGAAACTGTTAAATCTTTGCAGACAGAAAATGTGATTCTTAAAGCCGTGTCTGTTCAAAATTTAAATATCTTAATGAACTTAAAAGAGAGCAAAGATTCATTCTCATGAGCATTTAAGTGATTCTATCTACATGTGGGGATTTAATTAATGACCTGTCTGATTGCCCCAAACTTTTAAAATTGGTCACCTCCAGCAAGAAGGCTCCTAAGGGTCCACCGCCCAACAGCCTGCCCCTGCCCCCCACCCAAGGGCTCACAGCAAGGCTGGTAAAGACCGGGAAACGACAGATACCTCTGAGTATCATGTGGTGTAGTTTGGAGGGTGGGAACATCTCCAAATAGGCTATGCTTTACTTTGTGGGTGAACATTCCCTACCAGGGCACAGAGGAAAAGGAAGTCAGCCCCCTAAATAATAATTGGCCAGAATCTTGTTGTGCCAGCAGGAGGAGAATCAGGATGGTCAGTAGGATAGGCTTTTGGGCCAGAAAAATTTGAGGTTGCTTACTAGTGGTGGGTCTGTGAATAAGGAACCCCACCTCCCTGCATCTCAATTTTGCCGCTGTGAAAGGGGTAGAATACAGAAGCATGCAGGACGGGTCTTGTTTTGGGGTACAAACACCTTCAGATCTCAGTATTAAAGCATTGCAGAGAACACAGCCTGGATCTGGATATTTATAGTAGCCATAAGCAATTGCAAGTCATGCATTACAATGGAGGGATTTCACCTGATTAATGCAGAGGCTCTGGAACTTTACTTTCAACTTTATTTGATTATCATCACTCCTCTATTTGCTGTTTTCTGAAAATATTTAATAGGAGACAAAGGGAAGATCAGGAAAGGAGAGAAGGTTGTGGAAAGGAAAAGTACAAACTGTAAAACCCTGCTTGTCTTCCTGCATTGGCTTCATTTTCTCTCTTTGAAAGTATTTTTATTTCAAGTACATGTGGATTAGAAATGTCTTAAACAGGAATGTATAGTAATTCGTGTTTTATATTAACATTTATCCATGCAATTCTTTATAGGTGAATTGACAAGTCCTTTAAAATCTAGACGAGTAAATCTTAATGCTTTTTATTGAAGTAACTCTCATTTGGAGAGATCTATGCTTTAGTGAAAAATTACTTTATCAATAATGTTCCTTTCCTCATTTCAACATTTTAATTATATATTTCTTTAATATTTCCTAGAAAAAATTAATTTATCACCAAAACGTATTAAAGGGTATTCTTCACCTGAGCACAATGTAAGAATTCTAATAAACCACAATATATTGGGGGTATTTTAAATGAAGGGATGCACAAGAGAACTTTTAGAAGTCTAATCTCCTCTGTAATTGGACTTGATAGAACTGCTTTCCTTGAGAAACTCAATAAACAGTACCACTCCCTGCTGGTGTTCTGTGGCTCCCTACAAACACAGCATGTGTGTGTGTGTGTGTGTGTGTGTGTGTGTGTTTTAGAGGAGGGCTTCTCCAGAGAAAGAAATGAAAAGATATTGCTTTATCAGTCAGCAAAGCAACAAAGCCCCATGCAGACAGCCACTGATCCCTGGAGGTCAGAAGCTGGGCAAGGACCAACTTTAAAGACCACTTTTAATACCACTGAACTGTACCCTTAAAAAAGATCAACACTGTAAATTTTATGTTACTTATCTCTAATCACAGTAAAAAATTGACAAGAAAAAGAAAACGCTGCCTTACATAGTTACGTGGTTGGAAAAGGGAGGAGTGTTTTAATAGCTTTTTCAGGTAACGGTGGATATCCTTCTGTCCACTGAACTAAAACCCAGCAAGCGGTTTCTTAAAAGTTAGCTGCAAATGTAAAGTCTGAAACCTTAGCAGTAAAGCTTCTGTATCCTGTCACATTTTTAAAACCTCTTAAACTACTTACAAAGGACAGGATAAAACTACACTGTCCACAATGGTATCACTAGCCACATATGTATGGTTTTCAGCACTTGAAACGTGGCCTAGGGAGACCAAATAATTGAATTTTAAAGTTTATTTAAATTTGATTTTAAAAACTTAAACCTGATTGAGTTATTGGAAAAATTTTCGGTATGTTTGGGCCAACTTAAATATGATCATTTATTCTTTCAACTTAACTGTTATGAAATCTAAAC